CCATGTCCCTAGTTTTCATTTATATTGCCCGAGCTTTGAGAATTTTGAGTTTGAAATTTCTGGAAAAATTAGGGTTCAGATTAGGACCAGCAAAATTCTCATTCATCTTTGACTTATAGTTTTAGTGAGTTATATTTTTGAAATCGTGATGATATTTTACACAACTTTCAAGTTTGAATTTTCCATTTTGGTTGAGAAATGAATGAGATACAGGTGGTCTGGCTGGCGCGAGGTTGAAGATGAAGTTCAGGCCATGGAAGTTTTTTGTAATATATATTTATGGTTTTGTTTAAGTTACCGGATGTATAGCCACCCTAGTGGCAAGGCAGCACGCGTATAGTGGTGAGGGCGTGGGTTCAAGCCCCAACACTGTCATTTTTCCTAACATTTTCATTTGTTTTCTTCCTTTTTTTTCGTTTCAGCCAAGCACGCTTGGGCCCTCATCATCGGGCTTTGCCTTTTTACTCTAGCTAACCCCCTTGTTTCATTTATAACATCACATCCCAATATTTTTTTTATCATTTTATTTCTGGTTATAAAAATAAGTTTTGGACCCAAAATAAATTTGTTTTACATCTAAACTCCCAAATCCAAATTTTCACCCCTGACTTTATCTTTTTATATTTTATTTTATTTTATTTTTATCTTTACTTTTATTATTATTATTATTTTTATTAATAAAATCAACGAAATGTTTTATTTATTTATTTATATATCTAACATACTTATATTTTTATTTTATTTCCTTTTCTAAACTAAAAAAGACAAAAAAAATTCTTAAACAAATTTAATTCCTTTCTTAAATAAATTAGTAATTAGACTTAGGTTTAATTTATTTTCTTTAAATTAAAATTAACTTAGAACTTAGGTTTCTTTCTTTTAATTAATTAATTTTTATACTAGTTAAATTTAATTAAAACTTTTTCACAAACAAAACCCTAAAAAATTTGTTTTCTTTAATAAATTAATCGCTTTTATTAACTTGATTTTAATTTTTCTTATTTTAGTTAATTATTTTCTTTGAAGATAATTAGGTCAAAACTATCTTTATTAACAAAAATCCAAACAAAAATCCATTCCTTATTCATTTATACTTATACATTATATTCATTTCATTTCTTGTACATTTATTCAAATTCAATATGGTTGTAATAGATAATTAGGATTTAATTTCTTGCAATCCTCATTTGTAAGTTTGTACACCCCATCCTCAATGATGTAATAACGTAGGACATTTACTTTCCGTAATTTATCACTTTCATATAAATGCTAGTAAATTAGGGTTTGTATGAAAAGATAAAATCAATACTTAGAAAATCCTAATCCAAGATAAATCAAGCATGAAATACAAAACACTTGCACACTTGCACCTCTAGGGTTAACTCTACTTGTTGCCTTGAGAAAATGGTTATGTTATACATGTGAGACACCTTAGCAACAACAATAAAAAATACAAGATCTTGGTCCCTCGATGACGCTTCAAATGTTTCCTTTAAAATGATCTTAGACCCTTAAGAAAATGCTAAGGTATCTCACAATATTTTATTTTTATGACTATACAACGACCCACGCCCGTCCCTTTACATCTAATGATATAGCTTCTTACCAATCAATAGTAAGATAGCAATGTCAAAGGAAGAGAGAAATAAACAAAAGACTTTTGAGTAGGTAGAAATTTCTTATTTGCTTGCTCATAATCCACTTTCAAAAACAAACATCTTTTCAAACACACCAAACACTTTCAAAACATGAAATATTTTCAAAAAGTCCAACACTTTGTATGCATTCTTATAGAGACGAGAATCATTACAAAGTTTTCCTAAAAGAAGGCACTTTTCAAAAATACTTTCAAAATCCACCCCAAACACATTTCAGACAAAGCAATTTCAAAAGTGAGCTAGAAAAGCAGCTAAGAGCCCGTAGATAACTACAGATGAAAAGGGTGCTAACACCTTTCCTTTTTATAACCTACCCCCCCGAACTCAAGAAAACATCTCAAAGGTCTTTCCTGTTCTTTTCACCTTTCCCTTATTGGATAAAATAAAAGTCAGTGGCGACTCTTGCTATCCACAACAATTGCGATCGAACACAAAACACCCAAGTTAGTTCCCCCATCGTATTGATCCCCCTCAATCTAAGACTCACCTAGATATGAGGTCCTCCTCAATCTCTCATCAATCACAGACAACGATTGAACAAATAGGAAGACACACTTCCATAAAAGCAAACTAGAAGACTCACTTCCATGACAATACCTAGCCAAGACTCTTGAGTAAGAACACAACTTGGAGTTTCTTACAAGCTTCCTCCAAGAACAATATTTAACTCATGCTTCACGGCTTTGAAGAGAACAATACTAGAGACATTACAACTCTATAACACAACCCAACTCACAACCTGAGTGGATCACACAACCAACTTTCCTAGAGAGTGATACAAACTTAGTCCTAATGATTACATCTTTCTAATTCACACTGATAACAATCCTAGGTTACAATGCTTCTATTTATAACCTATCTCTCAATTGGATTTGGGCTTCAAATCACAGCTCTTTGGTTGTTACAAAAATGCAGAAAATTATGCTACAAAATAGGTCTTCAAGTAAATCTTTCCTAATTTTTCCCCATAATTAGAAAGTCAATATTCTTCAATATTCTTCTTGATTATTACTTGAACCTTGCAGACCTATAAAATAGTGCCACATGAGATAACATAATATTCCTAGAATATTCTACATTTTTTAAATCATAATAGAATCCAACAATTCAGCTCAGCTCAGACACGATGTCGTATGACTCTGCATAGGACATCTTATCTGACATGTTGCTCCAAATGTTGAAACATTTCAACTCAACATATCTTCATAAAATAGAACTTCTTGATCAACTTGTTCTTCTTAGCAAGTTAGAAAATCTTATTTAATATATTGTTGCTATATTAGTTTTACCAAACATAATGACAACCATAAAAAATAGAGAATTAACACAAATAATATGGATTTAGGCTGAAAAAACTATATATACAACTCTCATGTATTGTGATAACAATAGTGTCATTCAAATTGCTCACAGCTTAGTATTTCATGAACATACCTAATACATTGAGATGATTGTCATTTCACTCGTCATCACCTTTAGAATAGAATAATTACTCTACCATGTGTCTCCTCCTCCTTACATATTAATGATTTATCCACTAAGATGCATTGTGAATTTTAGAAGAGATTAATGGTTTATTTACTCTACCATTAACATTTTTCATTTCTTGATTCACAAACTCTTGATATTTTCTGTTAATGCATCATGAATTTTAGAAGAGATGTTAGCTAAAATTATAATCTTATTATTATATCTTAGTAATGATATTTTTTGGTTTTTTTTTTTTTGTAATATAATTTGGTCTTTTTTATTATTTAATATTTATATTTTATTATAATGGTTGTTTCGTAGACATTTGTGATTTTAATGCAAACGTGAATCTCCTACTTCTTTCCTCTCTTCTTTCTCTTTTTTTTTTTTATAAATATTTTAATAATTTAATTTATTTGTAAAATTGATAAAATGTCGCGGTTTCGAATTTGAACTTCTCAATAAATATTTGGTTGAAGTGTTTTAAATTTGGGAAAATATGTATTTGGTCTTTTAATTATATCATTGAATTTAGACCGATTTCTTAATTTTTTTTCGTGTTAATTTAGTTTCTTAATTTTTAAAACGTTTTATTTTAATTCCTTTTGTCTAATTAATGATAAATTTAAAGATCGATTTTTAAGTTTTTTCATCGTTAATTATATAAAAAAAATTAAAATAAAAGATTTTAAAAATTAAATGATTAAATTGATACGAAATCAATTTTAATTCAAAAATATAATTAAGAGATCAAAATAAATATTTTATCTTTAGACTTTTGTTTATAATGGAGTAGTAGTATAATACAAGGCTCCTACTCCTTGAACTACACCAATAGACACAGCCTCCTATTCCTTGAACTAATCATGGTTGGCGTGACATGAATATAATAATAAACAAATCATCTTAGATCTTCACTATTTAAATTGCCCACGTTTCAAGTGTTGATTGGCCATTGCAAAACCATATCTTTGATTTAAATTCAAATTAACATGGATCATTATATGGTAGTGATTTGAATCCTTCAAATTTCACATTTTTAGTTTATGTAGAAGAAGATTTCATTCCTAAAAAATAAACTTTGTTGCCACACTTTTTTTGTTAAAACTAATTGAAATTTGCATGGTTGTGTGTATTAATGTTTGATTAAGTTTATAAAGAACTATAATAGATGACAAATGTACTATAACTTTTAAATGTGGATGTATTTTTAGGATTAAAGAAATATGTTTAATAAATTTTTGTTTTAAATTTTGTTTATAAAAATGTTTTCATGATGGCAAAGATGATCAATTTTGAATAGCTTAATATACTTTATTGTTCATAGGGATCTATAAAAAAAATACTTAAAATTATATAACATAGAGTGAATTGCATGTGAAAACTTTTTCAAATTTTAATTTGCATAAAGAACCCCATAAACATAAATAATAAACCAATATTCTAGGAAGATCAAATAATCAAAATTAGTATCATGGAATACTTCAAACCGTGTATTTTAATTTCTAACAAGGTCCATTCAATTAATTGAACAAGTCTTTCCTTTGTATTTTTCCACTAAACCATTCAAAATTAAGAAACTTTATAAGACCAATTCCGAAGCTCCATCAATCAACTTGATGAAACATATCAAAAGACAAATAAAACAAAATAAAATCTAAGCTAAAATAAAAACATACATTCAACAAATCTATTATTAATTTTTACAAAAAAGTGAGAAAAAATAGAAATATTACAAAATATCTAAATATCTCTAATTAAAAAACAGAGGAAAACAGAGAGAAAGAACAGGGGAAGCATATAAATCCTCCCTCAACAATCTCCATACATCATCATAAGACTAATCAAAAACCTTAACACGATTCTATGACTCTATGAATCCCCAACTGAAATTGTTTGGCCGGAAAATCCCAATGGTGACCGAGAAATCTGCCGCGAAATCTCCCTTAAACCTGGTCTTACTTCGACTTGACCAAATGACCAATCATAGATTTTCTCAGATTCTTGCTTGATCTTCATAACTTGGCTATGAATTAAGATACCCTTTTGTGCAAAGCTTTCATCTTTTTTGTTACTCTTCATGTTCTAACTCAAAGAAAAAATCTCAATTTTTTTCTTCACACAAATTTCCTAGCTAATTAACCTTTGATATAAAAAAACATACATAGAGATGTAACCTATGTGTGTTTATATATGACACATAGGAATACAATTATGAAACGTAAGAGATAAGAGTTTGGAGAAGTTTGGTGGAAATTATCTAATTTTTAGGATCAGTTTGAAGATGACTAAATTGGACCATGAAGTTGACAGAGAAAGAAGGTTCTATGTTGTTTTTAAGAATAGTATTGTTGACTATGATTTTCTAACCGTTGGATTTTGGTGTTTGGTCAATCATCATATGGTTAGTTATATTCAAAAACCATTTGATTGAATTAGTATTTGCTTTAAATAGAACATTCTGTTATTTGGTTAGTCACATTTTTTGGGTACTATATCACTAGTTTTATAGAGAAATAATAGAAAAATAGTAGTTTTTTTTATACAAGTTGGATCATTTTTTTTTTTGAACAACTTGGACATTTTTCTTTTGGTAAAAAACAACGTGGAGCTTTTATTTTAATTATTTTAATGGATATTGTGTTGGAATATTTTAGTAATATAGTTTTATATTAATATTACAATACTATACCTCTATTTTGTACATTTGTGTATCCGTCAGTTGTAGGTTCAACGAACATCATAACCTCTCAACTTGAAAATATTAATATTTATATTGACGTGTGGAAATCAATAGCCACTTTTTTATTTTATTTTATTTTATTATGATGTTCTTTGTGACTTTTGAACAACTTATTCACAGTGGATGTTGAAGATGAATCTTTTAGTTCATTTTTCTTTGCAATGGAAGAGAGATAAAGAGACCGTGGAAGAGAGACGAAACGTTTTGTGTATAATATTCATAGTACCGTTTCAATACAACCTAGAGGCTTTTATATATGTAGTCTTCACACTTGTACTTAATGGACTTAACAGAAACGGTAATAGTTGAAGTAACTGCACTAACATACAATTATTAATAGAGTTACACAATGTTAACATTACTTTAGAATTCAAAAGAGGCTATGGTAAGAGGAGAAAGAATTTTGAGTTTCAAGAAGGAGATCATGTATTTTTTAGAGTCACTCTAGTAATCGGTGTTGAATGTGCCTTAAAGTCGAGGAAGTTTACTTTTCGGCTTATTAGTCCGTATCAGAGATCGTAGAGGGTTAGAGCTATTGCTTATAGAGTGGTGTTGCCACTAAAGTTTTTGAATTTGCATGATGTATTTCATGTTTCACAGCTTCAGAAGTATGTTCTGGATCCGTCGCATGTGATTCTGATGGATGATGTTCAGGTAAGGGATAACCTTACAGTTGAGGCCTTACCTCTGAGGATTGATGATCGTGAGATGAAACAATTGAGAGGGAATGAGATTTCTCTCGTGAAGGTAGTGGGGGGAGGCACTGTCGGAAGGAATATGACTTGAGAGTTGGAGAGTAGGATGCAAGAGGGGTATCCAGAGCTGTTCGCATCAAGTAAATTTTCGAGGATGAAAATATTTTAAGTGGAGGAGAGTTGCAATGCCCCGACTTATTTTATTTATTCTCCGTGATTTAATTATATAGTATTTGGTGATTGTGTTGTATTGTTTGGTGTTTTGGTGTATTTGGGGTATACATGATGAGGGGTAATGGCCTTAAGAATAGACTTTAAGGTGTTGAGGAGTGTGTGAGTAAAAGTGTAGAATTTAATGGTGGGGTGAGTAAGACTAATTGAATTATATTAGTTAATAATTATTTAATATTAGGTGGATATTTATTCAATTAAATAATTGATGGAAATTATTATTAGGGTTGTTCTGGACTGGGCCCGCCCTGGCCCAAAGCGCAAATAAAGGCCCAACCCAAGCAAACTCCTCGAGGAACACGCACCCGCAGATCGTCGTCGACGTGCCCGACCATAGACTGTAGCCACGCTCACCATTGCCCGCGCACATCTATCCCCGACCAAGGGGATTCCAGCTCGAGACCTACTCGAGCGCTCTCCCCGTAGGGCAGATTCTGTCCTCTTTGACCGTTATCGAATCATCTAAACTCCAGAAAGACCGCGTCTTCGTCCCTCCTCATTCTTCGCAGAGCATCACCAGGAAGGGGACCACGTGCGGAGCCCCACTACACACGTAGAACCTGGCAGTTCCTTTATTGGGCCGGTTCTGGTTGGCCCAATGAGGGGACCTTGGCCCAGCACTGGGGGCTATAAATACCCTCTGTTCCTGGAGGGTCGGGTATTCATCTCTTACGCATCTATACACTTTTTGCCTGCTCATTCCGCCACTCACTTTAGCATCGGAGTGTCTTGCAGGTACCCCCCCTCCATCTCACTCAAATTCTGCCTGAGCCAGTCGTGACGGTCCAAGTCTAATCAGGTAAGATCAGTGGCGCCGTCTGTGGGAAACCAGCTTCCCCGTCTTGCAAACTCTCGAAGACCAAAGCTCAAAATCATCTCCAACCGTCATGGCTGACCAAGTTCGGGACAATCAGAACGTCTGTGTTGTCAACATCAACAACAACCTCGCGGACAAAAACGGAATTCCCGACAACGCCGACAACCCCGGCCATAGCACGCTCCTCGGGGGCACCATCCCCGGGCCCTCGATCCACCGAGACGGAGCTACTGCCTCATCTTCTTCGGTCCCTCCGCCACTCGAAGAAGACAATACGGCTCCCCCAAACTATCTAGCTGCCCAATTTCAGGAAGTCTCTGTCCCCGTCAGGGCAGATGCCACAACACGCGTACTATTTGCGGCGATCAATCAAACCAACTACCTCATCTTTGCCCAGGAGGAAAGATTGAGGGCGCTAAAAGACGATAGAAGATCCGCGAGGAGACACAGGAGGCCTCAGACCCCACCTCCTCGAGTAACAGAGGTGCATCTCCCGTCTCCCCTGCGGAGACAATACAGAGACACCTCCCGAAGTCCGTCGCCCCGATCGTCGGGGAGACGACCCCCCTTGGAGAGGCAACCCGTCATTGAAGCCGGAGGGCGCAACCATGGCCCCGTACGGCAAGAAAGAAGACACTCCGGAGACAGGCACGGAAGAATAGACTAACTAGCATCCCGCTCGAGGGGCACCCTGCACGACCAGGACCACCGGGCCCGACAATATCTCAGGTCCCCATCCCTGTCCCCATAGCAAAGTGACGAGGACGACCCACGCGGTCCCCTTTCACAAGCCATCATTGTAACGCCCGAATTTAACTAATTGGTTAATTAAATTATTTAAGAATTTAATTATTGGATTTTGTCGGTTTAATCGCAAAAATAATATTAAGAATAATATTATTTATTTATTGGTGTAATTTAATTGAGTTGGGCCAAGTAGCATTAAAATGCAGTTAATTGGAGGGGTGTGGATAGTAGGCCCATTTGGATTAATTGTTGGAATAATATTGATACTATTATTATTATTATTTGGAGGAAAATTAATAAAAGATAAGTCAGCAGAGAAAATAAGGTTTTTGGAGAGAAAACAGAAGTCACGTGAAAACGGTGCAAAGAGGCAAGGTTGAAGACGGCGGAAAAGCCATCGAAGAGGCGATTGGATTAGAGAATCGAAGAACCGTCAATCCCAGGTAAGGGTGGAGTTCTGATTCTATAATCGGATGCATGATAGATGATATGTAGGATGAGATTTATCGAATTGCCCTATGTTTGGTGTGTTTTGATTATTGATGTGGTATTGATCCTATTGTATGCCTTAGATCATTGCTATATGGTAGGAATTCGATTTTGATGGTTTTAGGATGTTTGGGGATGATTAGGAATGGGTTGGGGTGATTTTGGGAAGCATAAAAACGTGAAATTTGGGGTTGCAAAGTCATCAACACGGGCCGTGTTGATGCACACGGGCACCCGTGTTGATCTTCTGTGTTGATGCTCGGGTAGGTTTTCCCAAAAATCGTTTCGGCCATAACTTTTGAATCGTAACTCCGATTTAGGCGCCGTTTGATGCGTTGGAAAGCTAGTGAAATTTTCTATATGATTATGAGGAATTAAGTAGCTTTAAGAGCTTATTTTAATAAGTGATTATTGGAGAAAGTGTTTATGTTTATAAGTGAATTTGGTTGTTATGTATTTTAGTGAAGTGTTTGGAGATATTTGGGATTGGAGCTCTGAAGAACGACGAACAAATCGCTCAAGGGTTCGAAGCTGCAATTTGATAAGGTAAGGGGGGCTACTACTCAATTTATATTTGCTTATGGGTTTAGATGCAATTGATTGGGTAATCGTAGGATAATCCCCATTGTTGATTTGGATCGAAATTGTATGATCGTGAATTTACCTTAGGTGTTCTAAGGATAACCTCAATGTTGTTAGGATTTCCCTAAAGGACGGGTAATATGTAACTTAAGGTCAATTTTAATAAAACTTGTTGTTGATGAAAGGATTGTTGATAAAATAGGATGTTTTAAAAATGAAAATTCTGAGTTTTGATTGATTTTGGAAAATGAGACCTTAAGTGAAATAATGTTGTCCTTAAGATTGGAAATTGACTAACGTAGAAGGGAATTGTGTTCCAATTGATGTGTTGTTTTGAGTTATGCATAATTGATGTTGTTATGTACCGAAATGTGTGTTTTGGCTGGCATTTTCGCGTTTGGCTGCTGTTCTGAACTGCTGCAGGAACAGGAAATTTTGGGTTCGCGCTCATTAACACGGGCCGTGTGGATTCACACGGGCACCCGTGTTGATTCACTGTGTTGGCAGGAAAAATGTGTTTCCAGGCACATTTCCACACGGGCAGTGTTGATTTACACGGGCACCCGTGTTAAACCTCCTGTGTTGGTTTCTAAACTCTGTTTTCTGTGCATGCTGTTATGTACGGATTGATCCTGTTTTGATGTGCAGTGTTTGACATGTTTTGAATATGTGTTTATTGATTTCCTAGTGTTGATTGATGTTTGTATCGAATAACGATTGTATGTTATGATACCAACACTATATGGATTTTATTGTCATGCTTTTAGATGATGTATCA